TATATTTCGAAAAATACGGTATGTGTGTTTATAATATATAGTTTGGATCAATTGTCAGTCAGTACAGTCAAACGTAGAAATGATCTCATCATTCTACATTCATTTAAAAAACGTACATCCCCCCCCCCCCCCCGTCGAAGCTGTGTGCAGTAGTTTAAAGATGTTCAATACGAGTTTTATAGACAACACTACATCGTACATTACAGTATACAGAACTTGTGTGAATAGATTATGTATTATCACCCAAACTTCTGTCGACGTCAGGCTTGACTTGAGATGACGTAAGTTTGTTTGGTTTCACGCGTAGGTAAACAGAACTATATGCGCTAACCCTACTTAATGTTAAAGTAATGGAAAAGAGGGAAGGCAGTTAGTCAAGACCACCCATCGTCAAATCTTGGGGTACTCTTTTCAGACCAAATAGTCTATATTTTGGTGCAAAGTTAACAGTTTAGAGAAAAGCTATTAATCACCAAGGGTGTTCAAAGATTAGCAATCACCCCGCTCGAGGTTAAATATTAGAAGTTTGATGAGAGGTCATCGTTCTAATGGGCCAAGTGGGCGAAAAATAAATAAATAAAACGAAATATACAAATATACATATACGTACATACATACACACAAATAACGATGAGGCATGTGGGCGGAAACATTTGTTGTTTTGGTGCAAAGCTACACAATTGGCTATATTCGCTCTGTCCACCACAGGGAATCGAACCCTGGATTATAGCGTTGTACGAAATAGTGGAATTTCTCCGTTAATTTTATAACACATGCACAGCCCCAAAAGGAGGCAGTAACGAGACGCGAAACATGGGAACTCGGCTCCGCAGTCAGGCACGCTAACCGCGCTCACCTAGACGCGAAACATGGGAACTCGGCTCCGCAGTCAGGCACGCTAACCGCGCTCACCTAGACGCGAAACATGGGAACTCGGCTCCGCAGTCAGGCACGCTAACCGCGCTCACCTAGACGCGAAACATGGGAACTCGGCTCCGCAGTCAGGCACGCTAACCGCGCTCACCTAGACGCGAAACATGGGAACTCGGCTCCGCAGTCAGGCACGCTAACCGCGCTCACCTAGATGGCGTAAGAAAGAGATATGTATTTACCAGCTATGATACATGATACTTTGGTTTTTGTCTGTTGTTAAGCGCAAAGCTACACAATGGGTTGTCTGTGCTGTGCCTGTCACGGGTATCGAAACCCTGTTTTTAGCGTTATAGGCCTTTAGGCTAAATACTTTACTATGTCACATACGTCATTTAAGTATTTTTCTAAAAAAAAGGTTTGCTTCTCAGTAGGTTAACATTATTAATAACA